TTTACCTTCTCAAAAAAAAAAGCTAATGTAGTGACGCACATAGAAGATCGGCGATAAAACCCACTGATGACGTCATGATTCTCCCGCCCCAGATGAGACGGGAGGGAGTGTCAGACTCTTACTGACTAAAAACCACCCCGTTCCTTCTCCTGCACGTCGAGCCGGAGCCCCGGCAACCCGTTAGGTTCTCCGCGACTCTTAAACCCCCTATAGGGGTGGATTTAGATTAGAATCTAACTAATCTCCATATTATTAACAAAACTGACTCATTCTAGGACTGAGTCATCATTTGTTTGAGAACATTCTAAGAATAGGATGGGCTGATTCACCAAAATTAATATAATATGGTGAGTATATTAGTACTAGTTGACCCGGCAAACGTTGTTTTGTCATATAAGTATAGGAGAGCCATGCTTCGGCACGAATGGGCCGGCTCGACCGGAGTAATACCACGGCCTCACAGAAAACCGACGTGAAGCAACGCTTGCGTTGTGTTTCGGCGTGTGAGTGAGGTCCCCTTCCCCAATCTCCCCAATCCCTGAATCCCCAACGATCCTCAAACTCCTAATCCCCAAAAAGCCGGTGACGCACGTGTAACGCCTCTGGTGTTCCAGGCACAGTATAAATATATACTATGTTTCTTTATACTATGTTCCAGGTGTCCATGGGCGACGCCAATTGCTTACCATCAGGTGATCAGTATGCTCGTTTACCGGCTTATGCCATAAAAAAATATATAAATAATTTCGTAGAAGGGTGAAAATTGAGGATTGTTTGTATTTTTGTGTGTTGTAAGTACCTATCAAGAAAATAGAAATTAAATAAATGTCTAAAAAATAAAAAAATAATGTGTTGAACTACCCCTAACATTTAGGGGGATGAAAAATAGATGTTGGCCGATTCTCATAGATACCGGATAAGCACAAAAAATTTCATCAAAATCGGTCAAACCGTTTCGGAGGAGTATGGCAACGAAAACCGTGACACGAGAATTTTATATATGTATATTAGTATACCGATTCTGAATTTACTATGTATTTCTCTGAACTTACCGTAACATAAGTTACTTTATTTTATTAACACAACTACTGAGCTCCTATTGGTCGTAGCGTGATGGCCTATCGATATTTACACATGGACACTATATAATCTAACTCAAAACCGTGAATGAATTTTTCACTGAAAAAACATCCGAATTCCATACAATGATATTTACATATAGTATGTATAATAATATGTATCTATTATATTTCTATATTTTGGTGGATGTATATGTATAAGTATTTATTTATATTTATTTTGTATGTTTTTATTGTATTATTTTTGTTAGTCTGTAAGTTGTTTTAATTATTAGTTTAAGTTTTCACTGTCTTCTTCTTGTTTGTTTGTTTTGTTTTGTTGTTGTTGTTGTTGTTACACACTGTCTTATATGATCTATTTATGTCTCCTCTCGCAGGGCTGCAGGAAGAAATCCCATAAGGGATATGCAGTACCTATGTACCTCTGTTTTGTTATATATATATATATTTTTTTTCTTCTGTGTATTGTCTATGTGGTGTACATAAATAAATAAATAAATGAGAGAAAATTTTAAAATCGATATAAACTAATAATTATATGACATAGGAATCGAATCTCTTTACCAACGAAGCAGTGCGTATTATTGGAAAAAAATCCTTATGTTTCTTATCCAAACTTTACTACGAAAGGTAGGTAGGTATAGTAATTTACAAGAGACAGACCTCTGAGTTTGTTTCGGCATTTCTTCTCAGAGTAGTCAGTTAGGAAATGTCGGCCTCATCGTTCGCTTGATAAAATTGACGTGTAAAAGTGCTGCCTTGTAGCCTATTTGCAGAAATAAATTCACTTGTTTCACTTATAGCAAAGCAAGCAAGCAAACGGTACTACGGCGTAGCACTTTTAACTACGCCGTAGTAGCTACGCTTGCTCAATGCGGGTTGGCGATTTCAAGCTTATGATTAGAAATTTTAAGCCCACGTTTCTTCACCATGTTATCCTTCACCGTTTGTCAGTGGTGTTTAGATAATCTTAGAAATTACATATAACTCGGAAAATGTCACATTGGTACTTGCCATTGGTAGGTTTCGAACCCACACTGATGTATGAGAAACGGGCGTCTTAAACCTCCGGGCCACCACGAGTGTGTAATCAATACTTGTTGATAATCATAACACAACAACACACCTTTTATCCCCGAAGGGGTAGCAGCATTTTTTAAGAAATAAATATGCTGCTTGACGCTAAAAACCGTGACGTCACAATACACAATCTCGTACAAAATTCATAGAAAACTGTCGTTTTTGACAGTTCGAAAAAAAAAGTATTGAATTTGACTAGTTGGCTAGTACACAATTGTTGTTTCGGGTCTGGGTGTCATGTGTAGGTGAACTTGTATGTTTGTAAACGCACCCACGACACAGGAGAAAATCCTAGTGTAGGGCAACGTTGTGTTTAAAATAAGATTTTAATACAACATAAGATTTTATAGCCCGTTCGCGTTCGTGATTTTCGGTAAAAAGAAAAAAAATAGATAAAAGCATCCTAGGTCCGTCTTCTGGTTTTAATCTACCTCCCCACCAATATTCATCCAAATCGACTTTAAATTTTAATACATTTTAACATTATACGACATTTTTGTATGGAGCTCCAGCAGCTATAGCCAAATGCCATTTAGCGCTTGTCTACATGTAGAATAGAAAACCAAAATATATGGAATTGACGTAAATTTCGACACTTGTCCGTGTCATCCACATACATTAAAGTGGCGTTTGGCTGAAGGCACAGTGCCTTTAGCCAAACGCCACTTTACGTATAATTTGGTTTTCTATTCTACATGTAGACAAGCGCTAAATGGCATTCGGCTACAGCTGCACATCAGATATGGAACGCCCCATAGTGACCGGAAAGGTAGAAGGAAAGAAACCGAGAGGCCGGAGTCCCACACGGTAGTCTGACCAAATATCCAAGGAACTGGAGATACCCATGTATGTTGCAATGCATCAAGCAACGGAACGAGATAAGTGTCGACATCTAGCGAACTAAATCAGTGAGGGAATCGACTAGGAAGAAGTATGGAGCTTATGTCCAAATTCTTCTTTTGTTCTTAGTTATAAAGACAATAAAATAAAACAACAAAAATAAACGTATATAAGTAATAATTTTCTTTTATTCTGTTCTTTTATAATTAAAATGTAATTTACAATGTTCACCTTAAACGCTATACGACGTACTCAGAGACATATGTATGTTTAAATAACCCATTCCTTAACGGAAACTTAAATAGGAATGATGACAGGGTATGAAAATTAAAAATCTAATAAGTCCGTCAGTTAACTAACAAAAAATATTAGACACGTATTTTTTATTTTGTCGTACAAGTAAACGATACTTAGATAAAACGAGTCCAAGTTCCGGAGTGGGAAGCTAGCTACGTCAATTCTACGTATAAAACGTCCGTAGAAGTGACGTCACGCGACATTTCAAATCAATATATCGTCGAAAGTATTTGTTTGCGTAAGAAAATAAAAAATACGTGTCTAATGTTTTATAATAATATACTAGACGGGTATTTAAATATAAATTAGTCGTGTATCCTATTGTTTTCCGAACAAAATTGTTACTGAGGTATAGTTTTAGTTATCATCAAATATCTCTTAATACGCCAGCAAGGAATCTTAATTAAATGAATTAAACCAAGTAATCTAACTCCTATGAACACTAAACATTTATTTTACTTTTAAAATATACACAACATTTACAAAATGGTTTGCTCAGACTTGCGATTAAAAATCGTACGACAATTTTATTTAAAGTTATTCACGCACTTAAAAAAAATTAAAGAAAAAAAGAGTTTTTGACATTTGCCTGAACAGAGACAGTAACCATTGGTTGATTACTGAACCGGTCAATGGTTTCAGAACATGGCTTGGGTAAAAACTTTAAGTAAAAAAACAATAGTTACTGTCTCTCTACTGAATGAATCTTTATTTTTGTAATAGTAAATAACTATGCTAAAGGTACAGAGTACATGTTATGAATATGGTTAAATATTACTCACAATACCTTCAAGTACAAGACTCATAATTATGTACACATCAACTTTTCACAAGTATTAAATAATAATGCATGCGTTTAATCGCAAGTCTGAACAAAATCTTACTATTGATCGCCATTTTCTCCAATGACGTCATCATACAAAACAATATAATTTCGGTATTGCACTAATTTTAAACTACTATTCGTTTTATAATTAATTATTTATTTATTTATAATATACTTTGGCTTTATACAATTTCTATACTAACATAATTGTACATATACATATTATTATAGTGAAAAAAAACAATAAGTACAAAATATTTATACGAAAATGGAATTTAAATAAGTTCGAAAATATAACCTAAAATAATTATGAATGGTAAGATTCAAGGTACTTAAAAAAATAGTATCGTAGACAAAATCTTACCTATTTTACCTATAATTGTAGCAATTGGAATGAATAATCACCAAAAAGACATAATTATACAAACTGTACAGCACAAATAAATCGTCTTTTAAAAATAAAATTACAATCATTCATTTCGTTCACTCTCGTTCACCAGTATGACCAGCATTCAATAAATTAACTAAAAAAAAGTATTTACAACTCTTCACCAAATTGGTTACGATTTTAATAATAAATCTTTGCCTGCGAAACAGTATTTAAAGGTAAAGATTTATTATTTTCTGATGATACCCAAAAATACAATCACAATATCTATATCCGATAATACCGTGGTTGGCAGTCTCGACTTTAATAACGATAAAATTCAGTCGCAAAGTCATACATCTCATTTAAAGATTTTCAACCTTATCCTTTTATCTGAAAGTTGAAAATCTATTACAGCCGGTTTCTATCGTAATCATTGTCGAGGCTACCAACCAGGCCCATTTCAGAAACTTTTTAAACCAAGATCCCGTCGGGAAAGTTACATAGAAAATTATTTATCAACATTTAAGTTGAAATTTGAATACGCGGGCCTTAGCGACGTCGCTTCAGCGTTGACTGGGGAGGGGGGAGTTGGGGGAATGTAGGGGTAGCGGGGGTAAGTTGGGTAGGGGTATGGGTAGCCTGCGGGTAAGAGTTGTGGGTTGTGGAAGGGTGGGATTAGGGCGGGGGAGGGGTAGCCGTAAGGTAGGCCTACAGATGAGGCGGCGGCTTGAAGGATTGATGCTGCGAAGGCTGGGTCACTGTAGACAGCTGCGTAAGGCCACGCTACGGCTATACGCTGTCTCTTATCCTTCATTCGCCGATTTTGGAACCATACCTGTGAACAAAAGAATGTGTTTATTAAAATACTAGCTTTTACCCGCGGTTTTGCTCGCGTCACAAAAGGATAAAAAGTACCCTATGTGACATATACCAATACACACAGCGCCATCTATACCAATACTTTTGTTTTCCCTCGGGAATATCAATTTTTTTCGGGATTTAAAGTACCCTATTATTTAATCCAGACGACTAACTTTACGTCTGCAAAAATTCAATGTAATCGGTTTAGTAGTTACGGCGTGAAGTCGGAACAAACAAACTCACTTTCCGATTTATAATATTAGTAAGGATTGTTCGAGTTAAATTGTTTAAAATTATCTCTCATTGATGAACAACAGTCTGTATCTCTGTTAAATTGTGATGATGTCAGGGTAAGAAAATTAAAAATCTAATCAGTCCATAAGTTAGGTAATGAAAAAATATTAGACACGTATTTTTTTTATTTTGTCGTATAATAAAATGATACTTAGATAAAACTAATCAAAGTTTAGGAGTGGGGGCTAAAACGTAATTTCTACGTATAAAATGTACATAGAAGTGACGTCACGCGACATTTCAAATCAATACATCGTCGAAAGTATTCGTTTCAGAATAAATACGTGCTTAATGATATAAAATAATCTACCAGACGGACATTAAAATAAAAATTAGGCATCTACCCTATTGTTGCTCCTTATGTGTGCCTATATTATTGAGATAACACCAAGCTCTTTGTGTCTATAATGATGGTACTCAAAAAATTAAGATGCCTTCAATAAATTAACTCGTCGAGTACCGGTTTTATAGACACAATTAAAGAACAATAGGTCGCGGTCACCGGTGACCGCTTGGTGTTTGACAGTTTAATAAGATAAGACTTCACGGTTGGTGCGGTGGTTGGGCAACCAGCTACCACGCATCGTGACGATTCCCGCACGGAACAACTCTTTATGTGATCCACAGATTGTTGTTCCGGGTCTGGGTGTCAACAAGGAACACAGGAATATCCACAAAAACCCACTAAAAACACATCATTGGCTAAACAAATAGAAAACTCCATCTATGACTCACGTAACATCATTATGCGATGTGTTACAATCAATATAATAAAACACTATTATAATAACAAAGGTTATATTTAACGTAAATTGGTCAAGAACGAAATAAAATTTTGTAAGAAAAATATCAATTTATGTCTATGTCGCTGTTAAAATAACTATAGGTAAACTACAAGCGGAGGACCTGGTGTCGGTATACGTGGCTATCTAATTTCCACGCTTGACAATTTGGTTACAGTTTAAGAGATTTCAATAAAAAGCTGCTGCAACCTGATCTTTGTTAAATATTATGTAAGTCTATCTACATAAATAAAAATGAATTTCCGTTCGTTAGTCTCGTTAAAACTTGAGAACGGCTGAACGAATTTAGCTAATTTCGGTCTTGAAATGTCCGTGGAAGTCCAGGGAAGGTTTAAAACGTGAGAAAAACCTTTTTAGGCCGTGTTAAATTTGCCAGGTCAGCTCGTACTCTATATATCTACTAATATATAGACCGTACCGACCGGAACTCGTTAGCTTTAATGCGCTAATCTCCGGAACTACTGGTGCAAATTGAATCATATTTTTAGTGTTAGATAGACTTTTTACTGAAGAAGGCTATAAAACACCACTTTACAATCAATAGGAGTCGAGCAGAGTGGATGAAACACTGCCGGAGTCGCTAGTGCTAATATAATCCTTCATAGATTTTTCCACAATATTACCTATAGACAAAAAATCACAGTTATAATAAGACGTGCTCATATTTCGCACTGAGGCGCTAATTAATTGTCCGCTTTCATATAACTGAGTAGTCGTAAATTATTTAGAGTGTACATAACAATATTATTACAAAAAAAGTCTAGACAGCTATTTATAGAATACTAGCGCCCCGCCCTGGCTTCGCACGGATACAATATGCACGTATTATTTATTTATTTAACAACTTTGGAAGACTAACAGCTAACAAAACAAAAATTAAGACATTGTGTGAGAGTCTGACAGCCAATGACAAGTCTTCACATATAAAAAACAAACTTATACTATAAACGAATGTGGTCGACACAGTACTCCCTATAAAACCCAAACCTCTATAATATATATAAACCCTCCTTAAGAATCACTCTTATCTATTAAATAAATAAATAAATATTAAAAAACCGCATCAAAATCCATTGCGTAGTTTTAAAGATCTAAGCATACATAGGGACAGACAGACGGCGGATAGCGACTTTGTTTTATACTATGTAATAATGATTAAAATCCTTCTCTAGGTTTTAACACAAAGTTTCGTCAGTCATCATTATGTACAAGCCCATTACAATCCATTACTGGACCAGAAGTAACTAGGCTATTCTATAACTGTCAATTCAAACTTTTAAAGTGAGCTCAATCGTATATTCTCGCTCCTCATTGGTCGAGATTATTCAACACAATCAATGACATGGCGGACTGCGATTGAGCTCTCTTCGATCTTTAGAATTGAAAGTTACATGATAGGCTAGCTGATCCATAAGAAGGGTTTGGCTCTTTAAGCTAGGTAGGCAAGTTTAAAGATATTTAAAGAGATTTAGGTTTATTTCTCACTAGCTACTTCCACGCGGTTTCAATCGCTCTGCTCGGCGCCTATTAATCGTAGCGTGATATTTTATAGCCTATAGCCTTCCTCGATAAATGGGCTATCCAACACAGAAAAAAATTCAAATCGGACTAGTATTTTATGAGATTAGCGCGTTTAAACAAACAAACAAAAAAACAAACTCTTCAGCTTTATAATATTAGTATAGATTGTACTTTTATTTTTTTCCAGGACTAGAAGTGGACGTATTTAATTCCCGGCGTAAAGGCTGTTAAACGTTCACAAATCTTGCTTTGACTATATTCAGGAATTTACCATGCTATAGTGAAATTGAGATGAATTTGGATTCAGGGCCTGTAGCCAAACGCCACTTTAGCGCTTGTCTACAAAGAAAGTAGAAATCAAAATGCCATACATTTTGATTTCTACTTTCTGACATGACGGATGACACTGACAAGTGTCAAAATTTACGTCAATTCCATAATTATAATTTAGTTTTCTATTCTACATGTAGACAAGCGCTAAATGGCATTTGGCTACAGCTGCTAGTATGGAAACCGACAACAGATAGATGCGACTAAGAAACAATTGAAATATATTTTCCATTTTCAAAAACATGAATTTTGGTTAACATCGAAACTAAACAACAGAAATGAGAAATTTCGGAAAATCCAACGTTTCAAAATGTTTGGACAAAATCTACGAACATAACTTCTCAGACCGATCCTTCTAAAATCATTAAACACACCATAATAGCCGCCCTTACAATGTATGTACACAAAGACTTTCCCTCCAAAAGCGGCCATCTTTGTCTGCAAAGTGTTAATTGGCGGGAACCGCGCGAACGTTCGCACAAAACGACTTTCCTTTAGCGCTTCCAAGAAGATTATTGCATTTTATTGTGCAGAAATAATAAAACAAGGGGCTTTACGGCTAAAAGTCAAATATAAAGGCGAGAAGCAAACTTTGAACGTAAATATAAAACCTCTTTCGTTACAAAATCAGAAAAAAATACAAGTCCAAAGACAAGTTGTTTTTTTAATGAGCAATGATACGCAATTTGTTCGGCCAAAGTCGAACTTTAAGATCATTATTTCCTACAAGATCAATCAAAGCCGCCGCGACATCATTGCGCAACGCTAATCTGGAAATTCAAAAGCTCTATTCATTTATTGACACGTTACACAGCATTTACGACACTAATAAAAATTAATCACAATAAACAAACATACGAATAAAAATCCAGTTCTTTATAACTCATCAAATGGTAGCCGAAAGGTATAATTTAATAGTTTTTAATTGGTATTATCGCGTCATAAAACAGATGCCCATAGACAAGCGATGAAGTGTTTTCATTCACTCACTCACTAATGACGGACCGGTTGAGGCTTTGTTGACAGCGGTGAGCGAGTAACTTAATCGCTTTACGCTGGTAAACTTTTGTAATGTAATGTAATATACAAACTAAGGTTTTGCGTCATTCGGTACTTCCTATGATAAAATATCAAGCTATATTTTATTAAATGATAAAATAAAACAAAATTAAATATCATTTCAATTACGAGTTAATTTCTGTATCTCCAAAAAGTTTTATCTTAAAATACAAGCAAAGCGTAAGATTAATTAATAAACTTCTCTAACCCAATCACTAGAACAGCTGTCACAGGCTGCAATTACAAAGATGGAATATTTGGAATTTTATCACACCTTTATCCAAGTGACCAGAGAGACCATGTACTAATAATATGGTCATTTTATAATCCGAACGTTCCGTTCTCCGTATTAATGTTCATTAGCGTCGTACAGCTACCGAATAACTCGGTCGGCTTCTTTTAATGCCTATCGACAAATTAGCGTGAATGTAAAACTCGAATGAAGTAATAAAAAACATATGTTTTTTTTTTCTTCTCTACGGTTTTTCTTTTTTTTTTATTGAAAGTGATAATTGACATTATGACCGAACTGAAGAATTTAAATTTAAATTGGCGTGTAGTTTTTTAAATGTGGAATTTTTATAATTGAAGCTTGTTTTTTTTCTGTTTGTTGGGTTAATTTTAATTTTGTTTTGTGTACTTTGTTTTTTTATAATGTCTTTTGGCAATGATGTTGACGTGAAGAATTCTTGTTTGTATGTCGCTTATCTTTCGATATTTAACAGTTTATCTAAAACTATTGTCAAACCACAAAAACGCTAAATTTTCTTGTGAGGTTTTTACTGTTTCTAAGGAAACTAATAAATTCCGAAACAAGGCTATTTAAACCAAGGCCTGTCACTTTATTTGTAAAATCACACATTATTTCTTTATCAAACACCATGTGATTCTTCTCATATTTGTATAAAAATTCTCGCGAATTAGCGGCCATAATAGCGCATTCGTTTTAGATGGAAATTATTGTAGATCTAATTGAAGTTTATTGAGGCATCATACAATGTAGTCATGAGTTCTAGTTAACATAACAGTTTCATAGCTGTTTTATTAGCATATATGCAGTGTTTCACGTAACTAAAAATCGATAAAAATAAAGATTTTTCCAGTACAATGAAATATTATTCACTCGTTGCTGAACGAATGATAAACAAATCAAAATGACATAACAACTTTTACAGGCAAAGATAACTTCATACAGCCAAAGCAAAGGAAACGTTTCATTATGCCTGACGCAAAAAAAACAGTCATAACGATTCATGACTGTGATCTGCTACTTGTTAAGTGACGTTCAACTTGTCAATTGATTATGTTACGAAAACAGTTGGCACTTTATTATTGGACAGAGGTCGATTTTATTCAGGACAAGTCGTGGGTGGTATGGATTCTGAAATAGTGCTCGTTTTGTACGTGTCACATTGTGGGGGCGGGCTGAAAATTGTATTTAATTGCAACCTTTTTTGTAAGATTCAAGTGAAATTTTAGGTTATAATTGACTGAGTCACGTTTAAGTGTGCCATTGATTTTTTTGTTTGGCTTCATGGAAATTGCGAGTTTTCTAGAACCGCTAATGTACAAGTTGCTTAGAAAAGTTTAACAGTATTTAGGATCGAGGTAATATTCCGTAATTTATTTTTACTTTTTTTTACATTTTATAGGTCGACATTTGACCACCATCTCGCCTGATGGTAAGCGATGATATGGCCGACGATGGAGCACGCCTACCTATAAGCAACCTGTTCACTCGGGACTTGAAAACACCCAAGTCATAATTTATAAGTTATTTTCGTAATTAATTTTTATAAACAACAAAATGTACTGGTGGAAAACCAATCAAAATATTCTAAATTCAAATGAATATCGATGCTTACTTTTATAGTTGATTCAGGAAGTTGCAATTGGGCGGCCAGCTCGCATCGCCGCGGTCTTGATACGTAATTTTCTTTCATAAATTCTTTTTCCAATCTTGCAAGTTGCTCTCTAGTAAATGCCGTACGGTATCTCCTGTATAAAAGGAAAAACTAATTGATTATAGGCACCAATAATATATGACGATGATGGGAGACAAATCGTCATTTTCATTAACTAAAATCGTGATTATTTTGAAATAGTGCTTATTGAAATGTTTGTCATAGACAATGCTGCTCTATGTTTTATTGTAGTTTATGTTTTTATGAAAAGTAAATTTAGTCTATGATAAATTTAGTCTATCCGTTGAATTATTTAATCTTTCGTGTGTCTAATACGTGGACAAACGCGAGACATAATGTTTTTTCTATTGTGTCTCATATTAGTGTATTCAAATGGTTAATAGGTTATGGGCCAAGTAGTTAATATTTCCAACATACCTGATGTTTGGATCTGGTGCTGCCTGGTTTGGGTTGGTCATCTGCTCCGATTGTGGACTTAAGGATTCTGTTAACAAATAAAGATATAGATTAAATAAAGCAATCAATGGAACTTGATAGAAATCCACCAAATTAACTTTCACCTTTACCTACAGTAAGTACCTGCTACTAGCCGAAATTAACCAATCTTTGGATTCAGATCCATATTTGCCCGACCCGATTATCGAGCCCAAGACTCCTTACGCAGTCGCATTTGCGATTTTTCATTTCGATAGATAATTTATATCGGACGTAACTAAACCTTATTCAACCCCATAAAGAAACATGTATAGCACCAAATTTCATGTTTGTTGGTCCAAAAATACCACAAACCCGAGTCTATAACATAATCGTAAATCATAACCAATATCAGTACTTAGGAACTAAGCTAGCAATTACTCTCTATAAAAACAAGAGATGGAGTCCCCAGTACATTGGAAGGACCGATCATGAGATATCTTAACGCATTTTAAAGGGTTGTGAGCACCACTTGAGAGCGGTTAGCTTTTAAATTATCTTAATTACTCTTATGTCTAGACGTATAGACATTAGCTACTTGATCAGAAGCGACACTCCTGTTTCGTGGTTCCATTTATCTTGATGACTTAGGATTCCGCTTGCTGCCTCGTCAGCTGTAGTCTTAACTCGTTGAGTACCGTCATTATAGACACAATTAAAGAATAATAGGTTGCGGTCACCGGTGACCGCTCGGTGTTTAACAGTTTAACAAATTAAGATTTTAACCCCTCGATCATCCTTATGAGCACCCGGTGGATCATTTATTAATGTTTTGTTTTTATTTTGACTGTATTTTATTTATTTCTATTGTAATGATCCTTGTTTTCGTGTGCCAATGGCCAAATGAATGCATTTTCTTTCTTTCTTTTTCCAAATATCACCCGTTGGATCATAGGAACGCCGACGCTCGACGGGTTAAAATTTGGTATACCCAAATCTTAAAGTCCGCCGATGAAAAGTAATTTAAATAATATTTGTTGGCTGTTTAGTAAATGAATAGCGGGGATTGTGTTAATATAATAATATGTTCCTAGGCATTAAAATTAACAATTGAAGCTTTAATATTGACTTTGAACGAGTACGGAGTCTGTCTGATTCGGAATTAAATTGGAATGTCACAAAACGAAAGTCGAATCCTTAAAAGCTAATTATTCCCTCGAAGACAATTGACTTGTCGTAAAACAGTAAAAAAGTTGTAACTGAACGCCTCGGCCGGGAACCAGTAGCCCGTAGGTGCTAATTGCGCGCACCCAGACTTTCAAGACCAACATTAACAGAACAAACACAAATAAGCTATTGTCTAATTAAATATTTTCCCATGCACAGTTTGTCTATTTCATACAAACACGGCACAAAGAGGCCGAACAAAAGACGATCGCCGCTCAATTTGAAAAAAATAACTCGACCAAAAAGCCGAACTTTACAAATCTGATTAGTCGCTGAAGTGGTTCTAAATTTAAAAAGGGCGCGGTGGACGGGCGCTGTATTTGACATGACCGTTTTGAAAAAAGAACACCGAACGCTTTTAAAAAGTCACGTATTGTTTTAATGGCGGCGTGATTAAGACGTTCATTCCTATTTCCGTTTTCAAATTACATTAGCGTTGTGTCGTTGATGTTAAACGTAAATGAAGATGGTGTAAAAACCACTTTAACGTTACCAGTCAATTTAAGGAAAAAATATGACTGAAAACTTTAGCTGTAATAATGTCGCATTAGAAATATTTATTGCTTTCTTGAGCGCATTGAACTAAGCGATTCATAATTTTTTTTAATCGTCATTCGTGGCGTCTGTTCCACTTGAGTCGTTCCCATGCTGGGTGGCGACAGAACACTCAAAAACCAATTTGCAATAGTCTAGCCGGAGCCGCGGTGGCTTCCTCTCAATAATTTGTTGTTATACAAACTTTTTACGTTACAACCTCTTTAGTGATATCTATGGTCCCCAGCTGCGCTATTATGGCGTGTGTCTTTTTGAAATAGGAACGAGGAAGCGATCGAAATTTAAAAAGTTTCCGATTTTAAAAGCTTCCGTTCTATATTTAGGAAGGAATCGTGTTTTTATATTTGGTGACATGGAAACTATTTTATGTTTGTTTTTTTCTTCTCGTGACATCAATTTGTGGCTGTGGCTTTTAGTAATATTTTAGTTTGTTCCGGTTTATTGATCGTAAATTAGATTCGATATGATTTCGAGTGGTTATTCGTTGGAACAGTTTGTTTTTTAATTACTAAACGAAGTATGGTATAGGGAAATCAAATCATTTCTCATTGCATACTCTTTCTACTTAATAGTAAGTACTTAATATCCTGGATTCAGTCCTTCTTACATAGAACCATTTAAACTTAACACTTAGGTAGATTTTGGAAAACAATACAATGAGAATTTTTACTTAAGAGAAAAATATTCAAATATTTCAATACCTACCTACAACAATCTAACTATAATGTCACTCACTCATGACAGATGACGTCACCGCCTAATGGTGTCGTTTCGTTCAAATTTCGAAACCGCATCTTTGTTTCAAAATGTCCGATAATGTGTAGTGTACACAATACTTTGGACTCGCGTCTGTTAAAGCTGTGACTACACTGTTTGAGGATAATTGTCGTGAGAGACTTTTCTCGAAATGTAGCTTATGATAAGTGTGTTTTAGCTTTAAATATGTATTTAAATACGTCATAGACGTTGAAATGTATATTGTTACTTTTTCAATACCTATAAATAAGTATTCGCAACTTGCATACAGAGTTTCCTAGCATTTCTAAATAAGATCTAAACCTAACTAAATTCCCAAAATCTCTAGATTTGTCAAACATTTTTTTAGAGCTGTAAGAGGTTAAGGTTAAAATAAAAAAAAAATGTTACAAAGCCTTGATCTAACTTACAAACGTTTAAGAATCAAATCAAGGAAAATTGCTATGTTTTTCTTCACGTCATTATAACTTTAACAATCTAACCTTGGTGTACCGATAAAATGGTGTCTAAATAAAACGCTCATTATTGCCGAATATATTACGAAACGTATCGTGATCCATCTATTATCACAACTACCAAAACCAGTAAACACATCATTCACCTAATAAATGACACCTAATATGGCAACACTGACTTTTTTAATAATTAGCACTAGCAACATCTATAATAGGCCGAATGTATACGATCATATCCTAATTTGTGGCAAAAAATAACTAACCAATCATAGATACTTAGATAAATATTTTCCAACTGTTTTTATTCGACTTTTAACCGTATCCTTTCATGATAAAGTTGATAATCTTTTGGCTTTACCATTATATGCATGCGACGGCTAGATCAAGTAGAAGAAATAATAAGCTTTCCGTTCAAAAGAAAATGGTGACATATAAAATGTGCAGAAACAGTCAACTTAGATATACGAATGTGTGTGTCTTTTGTTAAATTTTAAACTTAATTGGTTTATCACAAAATCGAAAATCTCTTGAAGAGATTAGGGTAGCTACATGTGCGGGTGTCAGTTTATTGAATTAGCATTTTTCGAAACAGAAGTTCAACCCCATAAATAAACTTAGCTGTTACAACAAAATGGCACTAACAACAAAATTGACCTATGACACGACACGACATTACCCACAACAAAACACAAAAGAATAATCCAATAAAACTTCCCATTCACAAACCGACACTAAACGGCTAATTAATCGCGACACCGCTCAATTTGCGAACCAAACTGCTGCAGTAATAGGCGGAAACCGATAGCCTATACATTAACAATTGGATTATCGAGAATTGCCGCCGCCCCGTGCGTGGCACGCTCCGGTAATTGTATTGCCGTGAATGGCTCCCCTTAATACGTTTATTGTCTATGAACACTGGCTGGTTTGATCGTTCTGCTGATTTTGAATTAAAACTATATTAACGGATTATTGGATTCTTGGTGTGTTTCTGATTTTATCACGATTTTAGTAATTAAGTAGATAGGTTCATCGTTTTTATTGATATATCGGTAATAAATAAATGCTCATAATTAGAGAAATAATAGAATAGGACTAATATTTAAAAATTTATAATGTTTTAGGTAAGTATTGATCTTAAAATCATATAAATAAACGGAGTAAACCAAACTTTGTCATTAAAAAACTCAATAAAATACCCGTCCTCAAACTACCAACACCGTAACAAAAAATAAACAAGTTACCAGCAACACAATTAAAAATTTAAACAAACAGAACTAATTCTCTATGGAATTAAAAACAATTTACAACAAACAAGTCGGTGGCATAGAACAATTACTCGATATAAAGGCAATTACCCCATGTCCTCCCCCTCTAGTGGGGGTCTCCGAAGACCCCTACACAATACGCCGACATGATAAAATCCCGTATCTCCCGTGTAATGAAGATTAATATCGCTTGGGGAAGCAATAAAAATGAAATCAGTTTGGACCCCCAATTGACAAGAAAATATTGCAAGATTGACCCTATTATAGTTGCTGTTGATCGGTGTTTTAAAGGTCTTTGTTTATTGTGTTGTAAATAGTTAATTGACAGATTATAATTATTTTAAAATCACTATAATTTAAAAACTTAATTTAACACATTAAACGCCGTGGGGTCACCG